GACCCCTTTTCTTCTCCTGTGGCTGCTCCCACAATGCTTTTCTACTCTGCTTACTCAGTCAACTCATGTGTCCCAAAGGGGGAACAAGTAGTAAATACAAACCAATTAGCACTACAGATATGAAGTGCAGGTAACTGAAATGTCAGATAGCTGTGTAACTGTGCTAACTAGTGCATAATTATTTTACAGTTATCAGTCTGTTATGTTCATATTTAGGTACTTTATTACTTGTATATAGTACCTAGACATAGAAGGCATTTGAGTTCTGCATATCAATAATACAATAACAACTATACATTTAGTGCATTTGTAGTTTTGAAATAACAGTTGTGTCAGCAAATGTTCAGTCTGAATGTAGCAATTACACCCCAAATTCCAGGAACACCGGTGCTCCCAGAGTGGAACAGATCAATAGTCTCCCTAGGACAACCAGAGCCAATTTCCTGTTTCTGACAACAGCTAGCAAGTAGTAGATGCCTCAGAGGAAAGAGTAAAAAGCAAGAATTAGTTCACCATCTTCCAAAGTGTCATCTCACTGACATGTTACTTTCCTTACATATATTAATAGAAAACTACCCCCTGACCAACAGCAGGCGTGTCATAAACACTGTTTCTTAAATATCTCATGTGCAATTCCTTCTAAAGTTTGAGAGTAACAGCAGCTATTTATTGCCATCGCCATCATTAATTCTATTTACAAGTGTCTGCTTCAATTAAATTACCTTTCCATACCAGATCTGCAGCCTCAACAAACAGTGGTAACCTCTTTGGTTTGTTCTGTTATGCAGAGTTATTTAAATCATTCAAAGTGTATTTTAGACTAATGAAGACTAAGCTTGGCTAGCACCAACTAGTCCCTCATCACATGTTGTCCCTGGCTATTTTGCTCATCTAATTTATGTAACTAGCTAATTTAAATTTTTTAACTGGTACTCATCACCAGAATATTTGATCGCACAAAGATTTAACCCTAAATCCACAAATGGTCTGTTTGCATTTTTCTTCCTATTCCCCTAAAGCAGTTAGGTGGTTTTTTTCCAGCTTTTATTTAATCTTTTTTCCCCTCCCTGTTTTTGTATAGTAGTGGCCAAATATGCTCAGTTGTGCTGTATCTAATTTCATCACTGTATTTATCCTTATCTGAATGAGCATGACAGTAGCATTTTTTGAGGCTCCTACTTTCTCTGGGGATATTTCTAGTGTGGTAAATCACTTCCTTACTAAGGATGTGTCATTCAAAGTTTCTTAACCAAGATTAGCCTGAGGGAAGCTGGGATAGGGCAGTCCTTCACAGGCAATGTGGCAAATAAATGTATTTATTAAAAATTCTCACTGCAGTGCAGGGACAAGTAGTTTGTGCCCATCTGGTATTATGACAACATTGTATCAATGGAAATTAGAAAGTCAATTACTTTAAAAAAATCAATTTAAAGAAAATCTTCTGCGGAGATACAGATTTTACAGGAAATTCTGAGAGCTCCTGTTCCCGTACACATACTTCTCAGTCTATCACTTTTGCAATTCACCCTCAGTAAAAAAAAACAAAAAACCCCACCAACATAAACAAAAGTAATGGTAAAACACCTTGAGGTTAAAAATGACAGGCTGCACATTAAGTAAGAATCTCCCTATTTTCTATCAACATAATGCAGCTTTTTAGATCTTCATTCCCAAAGTAAAAAAAAAATGGTTTCATTTCATTGTGCATTTAACTGAAATCTTTAAAACCCTCCACATTATTTTATCACATCAGACTTGTCAAGTCGCACTCATTTGAATGAGTGAGATTTGAAAACTTCTGAGTGTTATATTACATTTTCCATTGATATATGCTGTGAATCTTTATGGCTGCATGAAAATGGAGCCAAATGTAAGAGGAGACAGCTCACTTCAAATGAGTGAGGCTGGATAGGTCTGTCATATGTTATTTCAGGTGTTCAGAGGATAGCAGTTCAAAGCAGAGATGGATGATGCAGTCTGACAGTTTTGAATGGGTTTGCTCACAGCATTCCCAGCCTACTCTCCAGGCTAGAAAGGTTTAGATAAAGAAGGAAAACTTAATTACAGAGAAGCACACACTTTTTGATTCATATCCGTTGTGAACTAACCAAAGCCTGGACCTTACAAGCCAAACCCCACACTCATGGAGGCACTGACCCATCTGTTTGTGCCTGTTGCACTCCTGGAGAACTCTGGGAGGCGCTGGTTAAGTATAAAAAGGTTGAGTGGGAATCTATTTAACTTAACACAGGTTTCTATAAGTAGCCTAGGTTAGATTGGTAGTGAACAGTACACACACTTGCCCTTTGTGTGTACGTATGTGGACTGGGAGTGGGGGGGAAGAGGGGGAGAAGGGGGCACACAGGCTGCCTGCACTGGCTGAAGCCAGCAGGTTGGGAGAACTCCTGCATACCTCCCAGCATGTCCTGCTCCCCAGGCTGCCAGAGACTGCTGAGCACAGCCAAGTACCTGGACCACTCCTGATTGGTTGCAGGGGATTAGTGAACATGCCCCTGAACCCCCTGTTCATAACCACAGACCTTCCCCCATGCCCTAGGCTTCCAGAAAAGCCCCAAAGCAAGTGCCCTCCATTTTGAGGTGATCATGCTTCCATGTCCTGGCCTGCTGACACGCTGCCATGGCATCCCACCACCCAAGCAGGGAGACCCAGGAATTGCAGCATGTCCTGCTTGTTGATCTGTGTGACTCGCACTGGAGGCTGCAGGACATCACGTGACCTGGACATGACCCAGCAGCTGGTTGCCATGGCATGCAGCTTTGTGCTCCAAAGCCAGCAACTGGACGACACATGTAGAGCCACCCACCACACCCTGCACCCACCAAGCATCCTAGACAGGGCCACTGACTTCCATGTGGTCAACAAGGACTGTGCTACCCAGGACACCATAGATGCCAGGGTGCTCTGGCACCACCTCCAGGGTGGTTCTGAGCTCACAACACTAGCACTGACTGGTGGAAGCAAATCATCCTAGACACTTGGGACAACAAACAATGGGTCCAGATCTTCTACGTTTGCTGGGCCACCTTCATGGACACTTGCCCAGCTGGCCCCCCACATCACATGCCAGGACATCAGCATATGGCCATGCCTCACTCTGGAGTAGGGTGTAGCCATTGCTTCTATGAAGCTGGCCACGCCCAGCAGTTACCACTATGTCACAAACCAGTTCAGGATGGGCAAGACTACAGCTGGAAAGGTCATTCAGGAGGTGTACCTGGTCATCCAGGGCATCCTATTCATCTACCGCATCAACCCACAGGAAAAGGTTCCTGGCTTCTAGCACATCAGCTTTCCCAACTGGGTGGGGACCACAGGTGGCACCCACATCCCCATCCTTTGCCCAGCCCAGGCCACTCAAGCATTCCTCAACTGCAAGGGCTACTTCTCCATCATCTTGCAGGGCATCGTTGACCACTGGGGCCACTTCACCCATATCTTTGCCACCTGGGAGGGCAGTGCTCATGATGCCCACATCTTCTGCAACTCCCTACTCCCCAGACTGATGGAGAGCAGGTTCTACACTCCTGGGCTCCCTGATTTCATCATTGGTGATGTCATAATCTCCCTGGTCATTATTGGGGACCTGGTTACCCCCCTCCTGCCCTGACTGATGAAGCTCTATGTGGGGCAGCTAGACCACCAGAAGAAGCACCTAAAATACTGCCTGAAAAGGTGCGGCATGATGGTGGAGTGAGCTTTCAGCCACCTCAAGGTGCATTGGTGGGCTTCCAGCACATGCCTCGAAGTGCATGAGGAGAACCTGACAGGACTCATCATCACCGCATGTGTCCTCCACAACATCTGCAAGACTAGGGGGGCGGTCTTTGGTGAAGCCTGGGCAGAGGAAGCACAGCACACAGACTGGGTATGGCAGGTCAGGCCTATGCAGTACAGGGATGGGGGAGAGGGCACCCCCTGGCTTATGTTGGGGGTACCAGCCCCACACAGCAGCAAGCAGTCCAGATCCATCAAGTGCCTTTGTGCAAATTAATAACTTTTGCTGATAAAATTAAGTATAATGGGAGTGTAACAGGGGGCCTGCTCGGGGTCAATCTTCCCAGTGGCCCACCCACCTGTTCATGGGCTAACCACCTGCCTTCTCACCCACCATGCCTTGATGTTAATTGATTAATAGATGTCAATTAAGCAGGAGGCTGCCTGTTTTCTGTCCCGATGCCAGGGGGCGCTATCTGCGGCGCTTTCCTCCCCTACACCACAGCCCAAGCCTCACAGATGGCATCTAGGTGTTCTTATCACACTGGGCCCCAGAATACTTCTATTAGGACTCCTCCAAGATCCCTCCATTCAGGCAGCCTACCCTGCCTTCATTCAGCTATCTAGCTCCCTGAAACTATTTTCCCCTCTTGGGTGGGGTCCCCCAGGACCTTTGGCTACCAGCCCTGGCCCACCTCCAGGCCAGTTGGGACCCCAGGCCCTCAGCTCTTGGGCGGTCCCCATGGTGGGCCCCTGGCCCTTTTGACCATCATGGTCCTGGCCCCAGCATGGGCCAGTCAAGGGTACTCTCTTGATTAGGTCCAAGTTTCTAGCCCCTCACTCTCTCCTGGGGCCTGCCCTCTGGGCCCTACACACAATGGGGTTACCCACCCAGTGGTGGGGGCTAGGAGTTAAGGCACCCCAACCCACTTTTCACCGGGTTGGTAACTGGCCTGGCATTTCCTGGGAGCTCCCACAGCACTGGGAGTCCCACCAGGCCACCCACTCCCAGCAGAGTGCAGTTTTAGGTCATGCCCAGGATCAGGGGCCTCCTATCCTTCCCCTACTGCTCCTCCCTTACCTCCAGATAATATTAGCAGCTCTCCAATCAGACAATGTTGTTACCTGGCCTCTAGCAGTTAAACTGCGCTGTTTATATGGGCAGCCCCTGATCCCAAAATGGCTGCCCTCATCAGGCACCTGGCAGCTGCCAGCTCCAGGGCCTTAAAGGAGCAGGCACAACCAGTGCCCTGCCACAGGGAGACATCTTGGATCTTCTCAGCGCTTCTCTGGGCACTTAAGCATAGGTGGTGAGGCAGCTATAGTGAGTCCCCTATCTGGAACCTTCCCTTACCGAGGGCCAGGAGCCCTGCTGCTGCTCTTCACCCAGCACAGAAGAGACCAGGGTCCCAGCAGTGCAGTGGGGGGCTAGCAGGCCCTGTAGCTGTGCTGGGGCAGGTTACTGGGCAGGGAGGGGATACAACCCTCTGCAGTGGGCATCTGCTCCCTCAAGAGGTTCTGGGGACTCTGGGTCCCACAGGAACTCAGGCTATCGCCAGAGTGGGCAGGGACTGACCACTCCGGGGAATGCTGGTGGAGCTCTTACACTGCCCTCTTCTCCCATCCTTCCCTTATAGGAGAGATATTTCAGCATTGTGCCCCTGCAGGTCAACACTGAAGTCCTGACATTGCCCTGGTGAGATTCAGCCAGGATGGCAGAGCTTTTTCACCACCCCCACCCCCACCCCCATCCTTCCCTTACAGGAAAGGCATTTTGGCACTGTGTCCATCCAGGAGTAGAACTTTGCTCCCGACATTTCCCTGGAGAGAGTCAGCCAGGCCCAGAGAGAAGAGCTTTACCACAACTCCTAGGGGAGCAGCAGCCAATATGCCATGCTCCTGATACAGATGATCCCCTGCACCATGCTCAAGGACCCTGGGCAAGGTTCCCCAGACCCCAGCTGCCTAAGAAGAGTCCTGTCTTGTGCGACCCTTGGCTTTCCATAACTATTGTTTTTTTACTTTGAATGCTCTGGGAGCGGGGAGAGGTAAGGTTGTGGGTTGTATTACTTTTAGGGATTGGGGTAGTGAAGGGGTGGTCTGGGACTAGGATGTGGCCATGATTGCAGGAGGAGAGGCAGGGGATGCTTTGAGGAGGTGCTACAGTGACTGCCTGTGTTATGAGATTTGGAGTTACGTGACACCCATGGACTTTCCCCAGGGACTGGATCAGACGGGAGGAGGAAAAGTGCTGGAGTGCCATTTGCAAGCCTCTCCAGGTGCACAACTTGGGAGTCATCCTGGCAGTGGGCCTGAAGCAGGTGAGATAATGGTCCCACATGGGACCCCTGCCATCACATCAGTGCCTTTCTTGGACTGGGAGTGGGGGAGTGGAGTTGTTTAGCGGGGGGGATTCTTCTCATTCCTG